GGGGGGGGGGGGGGGGGGGGGGGGTTTGAAAGGTGGGTTAATGGGTTTAAGATAGTAAATGATATTTATACCCCCATTTATTCCATATACCCCATATTACTCTCATTCATATGTCTTTGACCGAACCTCCATCGCTCAACACAGACAGAAGATTCGTCTGAGTTAAGATCAATGAACACAAAGAAGATCTTCTAGCAAATACACTACCGGCAAAAAATATTTGGGAAATCTCTGGGAAAGACCGAATGGGGAGAGAGAGAAGGTTGTTGTCCTCTTTGCTGGAAACGATTAAAGAAATCAGTCAGTCCTCTTCTTTGATCTGCAAAAAATATTTGGGGTAATCTATTGCAAAGATTTCCTTCGCCCTATCAAGTCGATCACAGTTCAGTAAAGCTTCGATTACCCTATATAAACTCCTCTTGTTGTTCGATCGCAACACATCTAAAAGCCGAGAAAAGTTGTTCGTGGTTGTTCAATCAAGAGAAGTTAAGTGGAATCGAATATTTTGGTTCAAAAATCTCTGCTGTAAGTTCCTTGATACTTTATTTTGCTAATACTAGGATTCTGGCTGATACCTTTGTATTCCTCATTGCCTACGATTCTTTCTTTTTTTTTTCTGAATATAGACATACAATAGTTAGGATTCTATTAATTAATCTTTCATTCATTTGTTCATTAGAGTTGCATTGGACAGATGGATCCACTGAGCTCTTCTTGATTTTCATGTATTTGTGAATGGATAAATTTTGTATGTATCGTCGTATAAGCTAATGTAAGAAAGTTGCACTTTTTTGTTGGGTTAATGTTTTTTGGCCTTATGAATAATTTAATCATATATTTAACCCATAAGGATGCAATCAAATATGGGTTTGGATTTAATTGGTTAAGGGCAGTCAAATAAATACAAATATTTTATTATAATACTAATATATCTTGCGCATACCAAACATAGGTATGAATAGCATTAACCCCCTCAAACCCATCTTTGAATCCCATCTTTGGTCAAACCCAGGTTTGAACAATCCAATTCAATCCAATCCAAACCCTTCTAAAAAAACATACCAAACAGGCCCGTGTTCAAAACCTACTTTTGTCTAGCAACTTACTTTTGGCCTTTAAAACACTGGGAACACCTTTGGGCCCTGTTTGGTATGTTTTTTGGGAGAAATTTGGATTGGATTGTCCAAACCTAAGATTGACCCAAAAATGAGATTCAAATATAGAATTCAACATTTAATGCGGTCCATACACATGTTTGGTATGCGCAGAGATATATAACTATTATGATAATATATTTGTATATAAATGACTATTGTATCCCTTAACTAATTTATATATATATGAGGTATATAGGATATATAAGGGTATAAATGTCATTTGCATGTTAAACCCCCAAATCCACAAATGAAACACCCCCCCCCCTTAGGTTTCATGAAACCCAAGTATGTGGGTTTCATGACCAGGCCATGACTGGGTTGAGTTTGAAATTCTATCGGTACTTCATGGTTGCCAAACATGAGTTTAAGGGAGTTTACTCTCCAACCCATGTTCTCAAACCCACATACCAAACAACCCTTTAGTGTTTGTCAAAATTGCCCTTATTTTTTCAAAATTTTTAGAAAACAAGACATAAACTTGTATTAGGAATGACAATCGTATCGTGCCATTATAAGTTCGTGTCAAGCACTAGTTATCTCGAACTCAACTTATTTAAATAATCATGTAGTGCCAACTGATTTGTTTATTTTTTTATCGGGTTCGTGTTCGTCTTCGTGTTAACCCATATAAATCTCAAATAAAAAAATTTAATGCTAAGATTTAAGTTAAAAATTCTATTATTAATTAATTGAATTAATAATAATAATAATAATGAGTAAAAAAGTTTTTTTTGTATAATAATTATGTCAATGCTTAATAAACAATAACAAATAATTAATATTTTATTTAAATGATATTAATTAATTATATTAATTTCATATTATTTGTGTTTAACACTGTTTCAATCTATTTATTTTTCATGCTAAGAAATTATATCATTTATTAATTTATGTTAAACAATGGTCAATTCTAATTCACTAATTTCGTTTTGAATTGGAATCTAATTTTGATCGTGTGTCAGAAATTGTCTCCGTCAATTTGTGCCAGACAACAACCTTTTTGACCCAAAAAAAAACAAAACGTGAGCCTGCACAAGCACCTTTTTGACCCAAACTTACACCACAAAACAGAAAGCACGGTTTTGATATACAATCCAAACAGCAGGTTCTAAAATAATTTGTGATTTTGGGTATGGTTTCCTCCATATGTATACACCATTTGATTCAGAAAACAAACTCAACTCAAACCTCTGTAATGGCTAAAAAACTAGAAATTGTCTGGGTATTCCTTTTTCTCTCAAACCCAGTTCTATCTCAGCTTGATGATTTCATCTACGATGATTTCAAAGGTGTAGAAGGCAGCAAAATAAGCCTAAATGGCGTTGCAGAGATCGAGAATAATGGTGTTCTCAAGCTCACTAATGACAAACCCAACTTGGTTGGCCATGCCTTCTATCCAAAACCAATCAAGTTCAAGAACTCCAAAACAGGAAAAGCCTTCTCTTTCTCTACAGCTTTCACTTTTGCTATTTTTCCCAAGTATGAAAGACATGGTGGCCATGGATTTGCTTTCACAATCTCACCAACAAAAGACCTTACAAGGGCATNAATTGAGATTTTTTATCTTTGGGGTACACATTGATATAAATTTCTATCTTTGAGGATGCAAATTGATATTTTTGATCTTTGGGGGTGCACATTGATACAAATTTATATCTTTGAGGGTGTAAATTGAGATTTTTGATCGTTGAGGGTACAAATTGNTGCAAATTGATATTTTTGATCTTTGGGGGTGCACATTGATACAAATTTATATCTTTGAGGGTGTAAATTGAGATTTTTGATCGTTGAGGGTACAAATTAAGATTCGAATAATCTTTCGAGGTACAAAATGAGATTAACCCAAATAAATATGTTACTTCCGTTAACCGCGTTAGCTCATTTGGTTAACCGAGTTAGCTCATTTGACTAACATGTCATTTTTCTTAGTTTAACACTTTATTGAGGTGGCTGTTTTGATTGTTATTGAGTGCATGCCAGCTTGCAAGCACCGAATATTTTCTCACCTTTTTGACCCAAAAAAAAACAAAACGTGAGCCTGCACAAGCACCTTTTTGACCCAAACTTACACCACAAAACAGAAAGCACGGTTTTGATATACAATCCAAACAGCAGGTTCTATAATAATTTGTGATTTTGGGTATGGTTTCCTCCATATGTATACACTATTTGATTCAGAAAACAAACTCAACTCAAACCTCTGTAATGGCTAAAAAACTAGAAATTGTCTGGGTATTCCTTATTCTCTCAAACCCAGTTCTATCTCAGCTTGATGATTTCATCTACGATGATTTCAAAGGTGTAGAAGGCAGCAAAGTAAGCCTAAACGGTGTTGCAGAGATCGAGAACAATGGTGTTCTCAAGCTCACTAATGACAAACCCAACTTGGTTGGCCATGCCTTCTATCCAAAACCAATCAAGTTCAAGAACTCCACAACAGGAAAAGCCTTCTCTTTCTCTACAGCTTTCACTTTTGCTATTTTTCCTAAGAATGAAAGACTTGGTGGCCATGGATTTGCTTTCACAATCTCACCAACAAAAGACCTTACAAGGGCATTACCGGGTCAGTACTTAGGTCTTCTCAATGCAAATGATGATGGTAACTTCTCCAACCATATCTTTGCTGTGGAGTTTGACACTGTTCAAGACTTTGGATTTGGAGATATAAATGATAACCATGTAGGCATCGACCTTAATAGTTTAAAATCAAACACTTCAGTCAATGCCTCGTGTTTTGTTGAAGGAAATCCGACAAAACAAGATTTCAATCTTCAGAGTGGCGAAACAATTCAAGCTTGGATCGAGTATTATTCAACAAGAAATGAATTGAACGTCACACTCTCGACTTTCTCAAGAAAACCCACTTCTTCGATTCTCTCATTTCCTGGGGATCTCTCACCAATCTTCAAGGACTACATGTATGTGGGGTTTTCTGCTTCAACTGGTCAGCTTGCGAGCTCTCATTATGTTTTTGGATGGAGCTTCAAGATCAAAGGACAGGCTCAATCCTTGTTTCAATCTTCACTTCCTTCTCTTCCTGGCCCCAAAAAGAACCATACAGTCTTAATTGTAGGTGTATCAGTATCTGCTATTGCTCTTATGATTATGTTTGGTATAGCTTTTTATCTTTTTAGAAAGATCAAGAACATGGATGTGATTGAAGCCTGGGAATTCAATGTAGGTCCACATAGATTCTCCTACAAAGAGTTGAAGCAAGCAACGAGAGGTTTCAGAGACAAAGAGCTACTTGGGTGTGGTGGATTTGGAAGAGTTTATAGAGGAACTTTGCCTAAATCAGAAAACCAAGTAGCAGTTAAGCGAATATCCCATGAATCAAAACAGGGTTTGCGTGAGTTCGTGTCGGAAATAGCTAGTATTGGCCGTCTTAGGCACAGAAACCTAGTTCAATTACTGGGATGGTGTCGACGAAGAGAGGATCTGTTACTTGTTTATGATTTTATGCCTAATGGAAGCCTTGATAAGTACATTTACGACGAACCCAAAATGGTTTTAAGCTGGGAACAAAGGTTCAAGATCATCAAAGATGTTGCTAGGGGACTACTCTACTTGCATGAAGAATGGGAACAAACTGTGATCCATAGAGACATCAAAGCTGGAAACATATTGCTAGATTCAGAACTAAATGGCAGATTAGGAGACTTTGGGCTTGCTAAATTGTATGAGCATGGTTCCAATCCAAGCACAACAAGAGTGGTTGGCACATTGGGGTATCTAGCACCAGAGCTGACAAGGACAGGTAAGGCCACAACAGGGTCTGATGTGTTCGCATTTGGTGCATTGTTGCTGGAAGTTGTGTGTGGAAGGAGGCCTATTGAGGCTAAAGCATTGCCTGAGGAGCTTATTTTGGTGGATTGGGTGTGGGATAGGTGGAAGGAAGGTGGTGTTCTTGAGGTGGTAGACACAAGGTTGAGAGGTGAGTATGATGAGATAGAGGTGGTGGTGGTGATTAAGTTGGGATTGATGTGTTCCAATAACTCCCCGGCTAAGAGGCCTAATATGAGGCAGGTGGTGAGGTACTTGGAAGGGGAGGTGGGGTTGCCGGAAGTGTTGCCACCCCATGATGACTACGAGGCGAAGAAGGGTGTTGGTACTAGTTCTGGTTTTGATTCTGGTTCTGGTCAAATTGAGGATTTTGCGCATTCGTATCCGCCTTCATCGTATCTTGAGAAGATCAGTGCGTGGTCGGCGATGGATGATGGTGATGGTGATGGTGATGGGGATGCTAATATTGAAGCAGGTTCTGCTTCACCGGTGTCTCTTTCCGGCAGAGGATGGCACATGGCGGTGGAGGAAAAATAAGATATAACGGTTATATTATATCATATTGACGTGATGTACCATTCAATAATTATATAATAAATTTTATATAATTAAATTATTATTCATCTATGTAATATAATAACTACTTTGTAAGTACAAGTGGAGTCTATTTTATGTATCAGTAATGTTATGTTGACTAAATTTTAAAATTAAATTTAAAACTCAAATGACTTTGCAGGATATTATTTAGAGTTTTTATTGAGATCCAAATGACATGATATTAAATAAAGAAATCCAAGTCAACTGTCATATAATTTAGATTTTAAATTTGGTCCCAAAATTTAGTCAGTGTAATATAATTTAGATTTTTAATGTATTTTATCTTTTTTCATTAGATGACAATATCATATGACATTGATGACATGATGTTATAGTTATCAGATAATATGATCTTAAAAAATAATTGCACATACCAAAATATTAGTATCATATTACGGTATTTTGTATTGATATCCATAGATTTATTCCGAACAAATTGACAACTCAGAGCTGATCCAAAGACATCTCACACAACTTTGCCTAGCCTTATTAAACTCATGATTTATACATAACGTAAAACCATTACCCAGGACTTATATAACAATTGATCTTTTAATTTTTTTCCCACGGTAAAAAATCTTGTTTTGTGTAGGAATACCCTCTTTTCTCATAAATATATATATATATTAGCGATATCCTGTAACTGAAGTCACTAAATATTAAATTATGACACTATATGTGTATTAGAGTGTGTGTGTACAATTAGAGTGTATATATAATGTGTGTGTGTAGTGAGTGTGTACTGGAGTATTTGTAGTTATGTATTGTGGAATATTTGTGTTGGGTTTGTGAAATTTGAAAGAGAAAGTGTGTGAAATTTGGGGGAAAAAATATACCCCCCATAAGTTCAAACACCTACCTATCTTATTATATAGATATAGAGTAATGACTAAAAGGTCGTACCCCTAGCTCAAGGCTTTCCGTCTATAACGAGGTATGAATATACAAGTCTTGGGCAAGAGTTTAAATTTTGTAAGGCTTCCATGTTGAAGTGGTGGTATCTGATTAGTCAATAGGTAGTTGCAAGGTCTCACTTTTAACTGAAAAAATTGGATCTTATTAACTATGGTCGATCAAAATTCGACTTGAGCTGATTCTCAAATCAAAATTTTAATTCAATGAAGGGTTGGATATATATATATAGAGAGAGAGAGAGAGAATAATGTCACAAAATGATAGATTATAGAGTTACGTACAACTCCCCAGTCTGGCCCAACTATAGGCCTAAGTCGAAGCCCGGATTCTACCCCAACCCACTTCATAAAATAAAATAGGATTTTTTGAAAGTCGGTACACCTAATTAGATTTATTTGGTAAAAAATAAATCGAACAAAATGTGAGTTAAAAAGATATAAATACTCATTTTAGGGTCATTTAATTCAAAATCTCGTATCTTTAATACACATTGATTCATGTGTGTTTGTTAATACATTTAAATATGTATTTAATACATTTTTATTCATGTGTATTTGTTAATATATTTGTTGTTAAATCTCTTATTTAAATTTTGAATTATCTTTAATGCACCTTGATTCATGCGTATTTTTTTTTTTTGAAAAGTGATTTTGTTTTCAAATTATATTTAATACACCTTGATTCAAGCGTTTTTTTTTTTGGAAAATAATTTTATTTTAAATTAATTTAATATCCAAATAATGTAATAGTATAACAATAACAGTGTAACAAAAATAAAGTTCAGTAGTTTTGTATATATGATAACAAATTTAAAACGGACATAGACTATTTTGAATGAAATTATATGAAACTATATGTTTGACAAAATGTAATAGTACAATATTTTGTGTAAATAACTTGTTACACTATTATTGTTATACTGTTACATTGTTAGTGTTATAATATTACACTTTTATTGTTACATTGTTATTGTTACACTTTTATTGTTACACTGTTATTATTACACTATTCAGATATTAAATTAATTTAAAAATAAAATCACTTTCTAAAAAAAAAAATACATGAATCAAGGTGCATTAAAAG